TTGACAATGAAATAAAATTGAATATAGTTAAATATACAGTTAGATGAATAAAATAAAATAAAGATAAAGTGTTAGAGTAATACGGATAGTCATCATTGCTCGTCATCTTATGAAAATGAGTAAGTACCATGATGATAAATAGTATAAAAAACTTAACTCATTGTTTCTATTACAGTACAGAGCATATGATGACGAAATTACACTGTTAATCAAGCTAAATCTAAAATAATCGGTCCAAGTTATATCAATTAAAGACATATTAAAAGGATCGTAAAAGCCAATTGGCGATATTTCAAAGGTATTAATTAAAATATTGCAATGCTTAAAGTCATCAATAATATTATCTTTCAAATTACCAATATATTTATTCATTTTAAATTGTTTTGATTTTAAGTGTGTGAAGGTGTGTGCTATAATAATAATAATAACAATAATAATAATATCAATAATAAAAGTAATAATATTAATAATAATATCAATAATTAAAAAAATAATAATAAATACAATAATAATTTTTAGCAAGAAGAGCATCGTAGGACCAAGCACATGTGATGAACGGCAATGGGATGCTGCAGCCCCCCTGGAAACTGGAATTCAAATAATAACCACGGATCTGTATGTGTGTACACTACACGTACAGTGTTACATTGCTTACGAACGCACGGACCAATCAGACACATACGTGTATACATACGCAAATCATACATACATTCATACATACGTTCGTACATTCATTTCTTTAATTAGCACTCTACAAATAAATTCTTAATGATATTAATAATAATACGTTTGCACATAGGTATATTAGGAATATACCTACACATACATATTATATATATACACACACGTACATAATAATACATATACGCAAATTCATTTACACACACACACACACACACACACACAAATAAACGTATAACATTTCACAGATACTACACCCATCATACAATGTGTAACGAATACTGTTACACCTACATACATGTATACAAATACCGACATATGCATACTACACACTTTCATATACGCATACACACACATGCATACATACATACACGCATACACATACATATACACACATATGTGCGTACACATACACGCTTACATATACATAATACACACATGTATAGATTATATATATACACACACACGTACGCTAGGGTGTCCCGTCGATGTATGAAAAAAAAATTTTTTAAGACACATTATAACAAGAGGTATCAAAAGTTGCGAAATTTTATGCAGATTTCAAAAATAATGAAACAATAAAAATTATATGTCTTCTTGAGAGTTCTACCACGCTTTAAAGTTTTGAAAATTTAATGTTTTCAATTACTTGAATCGTTTGCATAAAAAAAACAAAAAACTCGCATTTATAATAGATTTTTTAATACTATTTATAAAACAAAACACATTTAAACAAGATTAAACAACAGACGGTTTATATTCAAGTATAAAATATATTTAAAATTTGAATTTATTTTTATGTCCGAAAATTGGAAATTCAACTCGACTTTGTAACGTGGTTCTTACGAAACCATCTCTCGAATTAACATTAGTCACACTCTGTGATGCTTCTGTTAACAGTTTAACACATCTCTCTACTGATTGTGTGTGGCAAGGAAAATCAACAATTTTAAGGCTTCCATCTTTTGCCATCTTTTCGAGTTCGTCATTAGTAACATCCCGAAGCACAGGTGGTACTGTAACTTGACGCTCCTGCCACGAAATAATTTCAGTATAATCTTTAGCAGAGAAGTTAAGCTTCGGTGTTTTAAATATTCTCTGTTTGAAACCATTGTCAGTATTTCTAGCTTTTATTATTCTTCGACATGCTAGTTCCCAAATATAGTCTCTGTCGTCAAATAACATACTAACAAGAAGGTTTTCTGGATGTGCATAAAAAGCATTTCTCTCAATTACAGAATCTACAATTGTTCTTAGATTTGTTGGTAAATATCGAGAGAATAAAATTAAATTAAAAATATGCTTAGCTCCATCTTTAAAAAATGTTTTTTGTTTAATTGAAAACAAAATAGGAGCATATACTTTAACTACATATTCGACAAGTATTTGCAAACTTTCTGATGGATCAGGAGTACTTACATATAGTCTAAGTAAACGGTTGGCACAAGTAAGCCATCTTGAATGAGATAGATTTCCAGGTTGACGGTTTGCGAGCTCAGGACTACAGGAACCAGTTAATACTGCTTGACATATTTCATAGAGATATTTTTGATCTGTACTCAGTTCATTAACTACATTTTTCGTTAAATCAGGCAAATGACCGGTCAGTGGTTGAAAAAGCAACGTAGTTTTATTTTCGCAAGTAGCTAATTGTTTTCCAATAGGCCCTGAATATTCTCTAGGACCTGAAGTGCAGCCATCTAAAGCCAAGAATAAATGACGAAAAGGTAGCTCGTTAGCATGAAGCATACAAACACACCATTGTAAAGGTCTATCCAAATACTCTTCAAGGTATTTAATTACACCACCTTTCCACCCGGTATCAGTTGCAGTTCCACCACATCCAACGCAAATTACGTCATTTAAATTGTAATTTCGATTTTTTAATAAAGTTATGATTGAAGTAAAAATTTCTTTTGCGGTTCCACGACATGGCGATGTGTGTCCCAAAAAAATAGAATTAGGTTCAGATAAAATTGAAATATGCTCTTCTAAAACCACTTTGCGATGGTAACGGACTCCTATTTTTTATTCACCAACGTTTTGTCTTTTCGACCATCAAAATAAATGCTGTTTAGTGAAACTTCGCTAATATTTTGAAATATATTTTTTCTGGCCTTTGATACGTGTACTTTATTTTTGTCTATTACTAGAGTTGAGTCTTCATTTGAAACCAGACCTACGTCAACTAAAACGGCAAAAGCAACAGCAGCAGCAGATCGTGTAGACAATCGATATCTATCACAAACTTTTGCCAATGTTGGTAACTGCAGTAAATTTCGATTAGCGAATGTTGTTGTTGGTGTATTTGTAAATGACAGGTTTGTCAGAAGTGTTTCTGTTGCCAGGTTGGTTTTGGAAAAATTGATATGCGTCTCGTCTTCATCCAAAGCTGTTGAAACAATATTAGAACCTTGTGTTGAGCAAAACTTTTTGACTCCTTTCATTGAACGTTTAAATTGTCTTGCCTGTCGTTTTCTCAATCTGACCGTTTCTTGTTTATCGATGCCACCTATAGCCATTTTTCTCTCATTTCTTTGATCGATCAAAAATTGTCTTTCGTTAACAGGAACTTTTTTATTTTTCAAACATACACATGCTTCAAATAAGACACATTTACATGAAGCCACATCAAAAAGCCTCTTTGATAAATCTGAAAAACATTTCAGTTTTTTCTCAAAACTATCATGTCTTTTGCTTTTGGGATATCTTTTCAAAGTGAGATATTTTTCAAAATAAGATTTTAAGAGTTGTAAAATTCGATCATTAGATACGATTGGAATGGAAGCTTTTATCCAGATATTTTGAATTTTTTTAGATACAACTGAATAAATGTTTAAATTGGATGGATCCTTGCCATTACATTTTAGTTTCAGGTCATTCCTAACAAATAAAATAAATTTAATGACATCCCCTATGGCTGGTATCTGCCGTTCGTTAAGTTCATCATATGGACCTAATATATCACATAGGATATGGTATCGCTACGCATTGAACTCATTTTCTGAAAGATGAAAATAAAACATTTCTAGTTTTAAAATTTTATAGCAAAATAATAAGATTAGTTTAATAGAATTCGCTTACAAATAAAATCACGTCTTCAGAAACTGAAATTTTAGTGAATTTGCTAACTCAAACTAGAAAAATTTAAAACAACCAGGAAAACGCTAATGCATACAAATTAAAACAATGTGAAGTTATCACATGTAAACAAAACAAAGAACATATTATAACATTTTAATTACGATTCGGATTCGACGTTAAGCGGCACAAAATATTAACACAAAAAAATGCCATTTTTTAAAACTTTAAAATTTGGTAGAACCCTGAAGATGCAATTTAATTTAATTTGTATGATTATTTTCGTAATTTATGATCAAATTGGCAACTTTCAAGAGGTCTTGTATTGCGAAATTCTAAAAAAAAATTTTTCGGGACACCCTAACGTACGCACATAATAACACATAACACATATATGCACTTATAGCAATTCAAACGTTAAAGAACTTAATTTAAGTAACAAAAACAGTTTATCTAATCCAGCTATCATACTTTTGTTATCACCAAGCAACCGCTGCAGATGCAACTGCCAACAACAACAACTGCAACTGCTGTTATCAAAAATAACAACAATAATAAAATGATAATAATAATAATATAAATACTACTACTAATAATAATCATAATAGTAGTCAAAGATACAAGCAAACCGGTTGTGAAAAAATTATGTACTAACAAACAATAACAACAGCAAAAACAAATAATAATAATAAAAATAATGATAATAATAATAATAATGACGATGATAAAAACAACAATAATAGATAATAGTAATAATAATAATAAACTCTTTTATTATTCAAAACTCTTTTATTATTCAGAGAAAACCAGTAAAATCAAAAATAGTCAAAATAAAATGTCAATAAAATGTTAAAATTAAATATTGTATAACGTAAAATAATTATAAGATAAATAAATAAATAATAATAATAATAAATCAAAAATGATTTAGGTAGAGAAAAACAAAAAAAAAAAAAAGAATTATAAAAGCGTATTCTACGTAGCTCGTCATTCAGTGAAAGAAACACGAAATGAGTACAACGAGAACAGATTAGTTTTACATTGATTCATTCCGTCAAATTTCTATCACAATAAACAGCGTATGATGAGGATATCGCAGAGTTAATAAGACTATTATAAAATTGATCAGACCAAATAATGTCGACCAGCGACAAATCGAAACAATTGAAAAAACCTAGCGGCGAAATTTCGAACGTGTTGATTATTATTTTTAAATGTTTTAAATTGTCAAGTAAATTGTTATGGAGGTTATTAGAGTATTTGTCCATTTTATATTGTTTTGAATTGAAAAAATTAGACTCATGGCAGACGGTGAGCTCCAATATTTCAATTGTGTTGTCACGGAGTAGTGCGATGTCGGGACGAAGTGATTTGAAGAGACACGACAGTGGGCGGATCCCATCATAAACGACGTCTGCATACATCGAAACCTCTGGTCCTGCGCATGATTTCAATTTTTCTATTATTATATTTAGAATATTGTTATGGCGTGTTGTGTATCTTTTTAATGCTGCCACCGAGCTGCAGTTGGATAGGACATGTTTGTTGGTTTGCCGAGCATTGCAAAGTGTACAAATGGCAGAAGACGATTTTCCCCATCTAAATAGATTAGCATTCGTTGGAAGCTGTTGAATAAGGCTTTTCCTAACAAATTTGAACAGTACTTCAGGAAGTTTGGCGGTGAACCTCGACCAGTGAGCAATTCTTACCGCGGGAATGTTGTCTTTAATCGACTTAAAAATGGTCCCTTGGCAGCGGAGTGACAGCAAATGTTCCAGTTCTTCATTTACTTGCCGATTCTTTAGAGCGCTGAGTGTCGATTTTGTGTCGTTTGAGTCGGGAAGCATGTTGTCAATTTTAATATACTTATTGTATGACTCACTCCACAAACATTTTAACTCCTCGTGGCCGTTTGATTTAAGGTAATTTCGTAATTTTACTCTTAGAGATTCGGCAAAATGTTTGAGTGATCTAACATTTAGACCACCTGACTTGTATGGGAGCGACATAGTTTCCAACAGACAGCTGCTGATAGGCAATGATAGCCATGTTCTTGCCGATTCGGTCACCAAGGTGTCTAAGTTTTCACCAATCCAAGTCAGCGATGTATCGTACATTCGAAACTCAAACGCAAATTGTGACGGCAAGTAAAGTCTGAGGATTTGTAATTTGAGTTGAGCTGTTGTGTTCAGTTCACTGACAGTTGTTAATATTTTTTTGAGTTTATTGACCATTAGATTGTTGGCCTTTGTATTATTTCCTTCGAAATTGTATAACTTACCTAAATATACGAAGTGGCCTCCAATATCTACATGAGGAATATGTTTGTTGTCGATGGACAGCATCGGATGAAACTGTTCATAAGCACCTTTTCTTTTTCTCATGCCGAATGAGGAACATTTGTCTATCCTCATTGTCATTCCAGTAGCTTTGCACCATGCACTGTTTAAGTCGATTAACTTTTGAGCGCTTCCAGTGCTGTTAGCAATGATCGCCGTGTCGTCTGCGAATTGTAGCCACGCTCTTGTCTTTAATTTAGCCGTGGGACCCCAAATGTAGCCGCATTGTTGATATTCGGTTTTTTCAACTAATTTCATTAGGGGGTTAAAGCAGAGGTTGAAGAGCAGTGGAGACATGGGATCACCTTGAAGCACTCCTCGCTTGACTGGAATGTGCGGTGTTAGCTGGTCGCATCCGGATACTGTTATTGAGTAGTTCGTGTATATGCATTTAATTAAGTTGATTATATGAGGTGGAATATGATGGAAGTTCAGAGTTGATGAGATGAGATTGTGGTTGACCTCTCCAAACGCGTTTCGAAGGTCGAGTAGGGAAACAATTATAGTTCTTTGATGTTTCCTGGAATCGTTGAGAAGATGACTTAAGAGCTGATTATGCTCGGTCAAACCATCGATTTTTGGGTAGAACCCTTTTTGAATATTTGTGTTGATCAGACTATTTTTTTCTAAAAAATTATATATTTTATTGTTGATGAATGATGAAAATATTTTGTATAAAGTTGGTTGCAATGTTATGGGCCTGAAGTTTGAAGGGTCGTTGGCGTCCCCTTTTTTGTGGATGAGGACTGTGAAACCCTTTTTCCAGCAAGTGGGGATATTGCAAGATACCCAGCATTGAACCAACAGTTTGTGGAGAATTGTTCGTAGTATTGGGCATTTTTTAAATGGAATTATCGAAATCTGGTCGAAAGGGCATGGTGATGATTTTGATTTATATTTATGGATTATTGTTGAAATTTCGTGGTATGTAGGAGGGCTTGTGTTGCAGAGTGTTGGAGGCTTTTGTAATTTTGGAGCCCAGCTAGGTATTTGGTATTTTGTTTGATGAGGATTGTTGAGAATCGAAAGAAAATATTGATGGCAATCAGTGACACCAAACAGTGGTTTCAAATTTTCTGTTTGGTCGAATATTTTCTTACATGTCCCCCAAAAGCGCTGTTTTAGCTGAGACGTGACGTCGACTGATTGATCGCATTTTGTTAATTTTTTTGACTTTATTTGAGCTCTGAGCGTTTTGCTTGTTGTGATGATTTGGTCATCGAAGCGCTGATTGTTGTGGCCTAGTAGCTTTAGCTGTTTTAGTTCTTTTTTTAGATTTTTGATTGATTTGTTGGAGCTGGTATTATTGACTGTGTTGTTGTTTAAGAGTGCCATAGTTTGTGGCGAAATAGTTGTAAATCATTTGTTGGAAGGCGGACGTGAAGTTGTCGATATTGTCATAGCTTGGAAGTGATTGTTGTTGTAGTTGAAAGTAAACGTTGGCTTCGGACCATTGGGTCGACGTCTTGGGTAGTTTGGTACCCGGCAGAGTGGATTCGATTGTGTCACTGGCCGGCGTTGATGGAGAAATTGGTGTTGTGCGACTTGATTTGTGAGACGTTTGTTGTTCCGGAGGTGATGCTGTGTCGTCAACTTCGTTTGTTTGGTTATCCTTTAGTTGAATTTTTTTATGCATTTTGCATGAGCGCTGGTGCATAATTAACCCTTTCCTGCCTTTGCATCCTTTTCCGCAACAACATGTTATAATATTATTTTCTAAATTTATTGAATGCTTGTCCACAGAATTGCCATTATAAATATCAGATGAAATGTTTGTTTGATTTAACATTTGAACGAACAACGTTGTTGTTTGAATTAGCAATATTTTTAGTACACCTCCAGGAGTGTTTATTAACGTTAACGAATGTTTTGTAGCAATGTGGACATTTAGTTGAATTAACAGTATAAATTGAATTAATTAAAATAATTAAAATAAAATATTTAAGGTTAATGAAATTTAATTTTAAATGTATCGCCATAATCCTCTAAATTTTTCAAGACAACAGAATCTATTTTAAAACTAATTTGAACGACATAAAATCAAAATTATGCTTAAAAATAGTGAGCTGAACGTAAACGTCCAACCCTCGTATTATTCGAGCAATAACAATAATAATAATAATAATAATAATAATAATAATAATAATAATAATAAATGAATTACATTAAAGAACATTCCAAGCCTGCAGATCTCAATTCCCACTATATTCTCAGTTTCATCAAGCCATCACCATCTTCAAATTCATCTCCCTCTTAATCATCATCTCTATCTCCAATCTCACCCTCATCATCATCATCTCCTCCGTCATCTTTAATCTAATTTTTATGGAAACAAATATAATCATCATCATCATTAACCTCATCTTCTTCTTTTCATACTCATCATCTTCCTCATCCCATCCTGTTCTTTTTAATAATTACCATCTTTATCTTCATCTTAACCACCACCACCATCATCGTCTTAACCACCACCATCATCATCATAATCTTAGCCATCACCATCATCATCATCATCATCATCATCTTAGCCATCACCATCATCATCATCATCATCTTAACCATCACCATCATCATCATCTTTACCATCTTTCCTCTCTGCTGACCTTCTACGTCATGATGATCATCTTCCTACTCTTTTTCACCATCTTCCTCCTCCTCCCCATTTTCCTCATCCTTGTCATCTTCATCACCATCACCTCCTCCGATCTATCCATTCATACAACAAACAAACAAACGAACAAACAAACAAACAAACAACAAGCAAGCAAACACATACAACAACCACAAAGTAACATAGTGAGTGCATTCTGCTCAGCTCATCAGCATGTGTCTGTTGTGTTGTTACATTGTTGTACTTGCTTGTTGCTGTTGTGATGATGGTGTAGAGCAGAAGAGAATAAAGTTCTAGAAATGTTTGTAGTGTTAAGTTTACAGATTGCTCTGTCAGTCAGCAGGCTCTATTTTATCAGGAGAGATATTTCTCATATCAAGTGATGGCTTATCATCATTCAGTTCATCAATGTCTTCAACCGACCAGGCCTGCCTTCCTTCATCGTCGTCGTCATCATCTTTATCATCAATATCTGCTACTTCTGCCACCACGGGGGGGGGTCTTGATTATCATTATAATTATCAGCATTAATATTCATCACCTTCATCACCATTTTCATCATCATTGTCACTTTCATCCCACCTAGCTAGAACCATTGAAAGTTTTGTCATCATTTTTTTGGACTGTCCTCATGATCACTACCGCCAACTTCACCATTGCCTTCCTTTAATATTTGATCCTCCTACTCATCATCATCATCATTAACATTATCGTCTTCATCATCATTATCTTCATCATCATCATCATTTTGTCATTCTAATTACTGAAATGAAATCAACATTTTTAAAATAAAGGGATAACAACAAAGAGAAGAAGAGCAGCTTGCAACATTTATGTTCTACATCTCTATATCTCTATCATTATTTTACAAAAAACTGAACAGTGCTACATAATACAAACGTACATACGCATACACACACGCACACACACACACATAGATGCATCTACTTGATTAAATTTTAATTCATCTACTTAACTTACTCAATATTTTCTTAACTTAATTAAATGACAATTTTGCTGAGCTCTGTTTTTCTTCTATTAATCAGCACCATTGTTTATGTAAATTAAAGTATTAGTAGATTTGTTGTACTGGGGGTGTACATAACAAAAACAAGTGTGTGTGTGTGTGTGTGTGTGTGTGTGTGTGTGTGTGTGTGTGTGTTATGTTCATAATTTGTTTATTTAGCCAGAAGAAAATGTGATGAATACCAATACCAATATTATCACACAAGCAGTTACTAGGTCACCAAATTTAATAATGAAAAATCAGGTCACGGCCATTTTTTCAATAAAATCATTTTTTTTATTAGTTAATTTATTTTCTCTTTGCCCAGGGGTTAGATAGAGTGCAACACCACAAGTGCATACAGTAATATTCAGTTTTTAAATTAATAATTATATAATATATAATAATATAAAAGTAATAATTTATACAATAATTATATAATTATATATATATTATATATATATAATTAATATTAATACAATTAAATAATTAATTTACTACTGTGTTTCAATCTATAAATATTTTTTATTTATAAGCCAATTATAATTAAAGTAATAAAATTGCATAAGCATAATATAATAATATAATAATAATAATATAATAATAATAAAAATAATTTAATATAATAATAATAATATTGTAAATAACAATAATATTATTAATAAATAAAAAATAATGCAAAATAGTAATAAACAAATATATTTCAAAATATTAATATATTTTAACTAAAACTAAACACTACAACTCCAAATTTTCATCAGCTCTTCATTTAATTAACTAAGCATATAATATAAATAAATGTACTCAACACTGATTTATTAATTTTTTAACTAACATTTTTCATTTAATTTTATTCTCATGCTTATCTGATTTGCACACAAACCACATCTCCCCTTCTGTTTTTTTAATTTTCACAATTTAATTTAAAGTTTTAAACCTTTTTTACTTCAAGCATCTTCACTAGCATTGTAAGTTTTTATTAAAATTAATTGATTAACATAATGATCTACAGATATGATAATATAAAATTAATAAAGATTATATTTAGGTTTATTTATTTTATTTATAATATATATATCACATAATAATTATTGGCATGTTACTGATGTAAGATAGAATAGAAAGTATGTGCTTTTATTATTTAAAAAAAATTCTACTGATTTCATAATTTTAAAATTTTACATTAAATAAAAATAAAAACCAATTTTTAGTTATTGAAATTAAATTAAATAAATCATGCCAAATACATTTTAATTGAAGACCAGCATTAGAATCATTTTAAAATATAATTAACATTGTGATTCAATTGGTGAACTGAACTGGTTGTATGCATAAGGTGAAAACATAAATTTAAAATAATAATAATATATTATCATTTCCATTAATTACATTATAATATATGCACCAGCATTTTTAAAAATACGAACCTCTGTCCAATCTTTCAATGTACTCTGCAGCCATGAGAAGAATTTGCAGATCCATCATGACGACTTTACTTGAGTTTGCAATCTTTGTTTTGGAATTTGAAAGAGTTTTTTTTATATTTCTCTTTTTAGTTGAAGGATTCTACTGTAGAATTTATCTCAATATTTTATTTTATGTTCTATTCTATTGTTTGCCAGTTCAATTTCAAACCAAAGAGGAGAGGAGTGAATTCGTGATCGTGAATCTTTTAAAATTTAAAACGATTAAAAATAAAAACGGAAACCTGTTCTACTAAAAATTTATTTCGTAAATTAATATTTCGTAAGAGACGTTAATGCGTGAAAAATTAAAAATGGCAAAAAGAAAGGATCGGATGAAGATAAAATAAAGGAGCAGGCGTGCGAAAGCAGAAGAAACAAACTTGAAAGAGAAAGACAACAACGAAAACGATGATGGTTTTAAAATGTGACCAACGAACAGCTGAGCGCTTGCATCTACATTAACATATTTCTGTCAATCAAATTTAATTACTTAAATCTTATTGGTCGATGTAATAATAAACATTCTAATTTATGTAACGAAGTCGGTGGCAGCCAATAGGAAAAAAGTGTGTTTGCATTTATTGACTCGCTTTTTTCATAATATTATTCGAAATCATTGATTTCGTTGACAACGGCAATGCAGCATCGTTCATAGAATTTCGTGAGGGATGGTGAGATATGGCGTCGTTTTTCATTCAAAAATTTTTGTTTATTCATCACTACTAATCAATTTTTTTTAACACATTTAGTTGTCTTGGCGGAGTTTCAAAGACGTTTTGTAGATTCTTTTAAGCCAAACTTGCCAAAAGTAGGCCTTTCGGGGCTTTATAGGCCTCACAACAATGTAGGTGAGCCGATTTACATGCATTTTCGCGAAAACCCAGGGTATTTTAAACTTTGTTTTATACTGTTTTATACTTTTGTATTGTTTTTTTTTGTATTTTCTTAGCAAACAGTACTGGGAGCGGGAGAAGCATTGACGTCACGCTTCCATTATAATTAGTACAGTGCACGTGCTGGGAATCTCAAGATAATATTTGCAAACAGCTAAAATGCAATATGATGCAAACGCTTCCAGGTCAGCCTCACGTCAAGCAGTACAGTTCAATTCCTATAGGTAATTAATAGCAAGCTTCCAACTAACCTTTATTTGAGGTATGTACGGAGTATTGGGGATTTCCTAAGCTATTTTTCAGCTGCAGTAGGAAGTTGAAATCACACACCCTATGATGACAAACAGTACGGTAACGCCAAGTTGACAACTAATAGTTAAATTCGAATAAAATAAATCAACATTTGGCTTTTACCGACACATGCAGATAACAATGTATGCGGGCTTCAAAATAGCCTACATGTGTAGCCGTCGGCAGCGACGACAACGATAAAATTAGGCGAAATTGGAAAGAGAAAAGGTAGCCAGCAGCTGCAATGTTGGCACTAAAGCCAGACTGTTTCCGAGTCTTCGATTCGGCTGTCGATCGTTTGGGCTAATAATTCATATAAGTAGAAGGCAACAGTACGTACGTGTATAACACACTCCGCTTCTGGCTCATGAGTTAACGTTATTTCTTGAGTTTTATAATTTTTTGCATATTGTGTCAGTATAATATGATAAATGTTGCAACAAAATTAAATAAAATTGAAAAATGCTGATTGTGCTATTAATATTTTGAAAATTCAATTAGCTTATCTTTTTTATCAAATTCTAATTTTGCCGTACACAAAAATCGGTTCTTGGTAATAATAACCACGGTAACAACATACATAAAAATATATTAATGTTAACAACCATACCGCTTTGCATTTTTGAACAAATACCAAACGTGACATTTTCAACGAACATGGCCTAATAATCCCGGTAGAAACGTTATGGTTCGTTATATTATTTCACCAAGATCAAGAATTAATTTTGTGTGAAGCCTATTTATTTATCGTTCATTTTTTTTCTATATTCTTCAAGTATCTGGTTGTACTGTATTGTTTAAAAATGTTTGCATCACTTAACCCTACCAGCAACAGCAATGCCCAATGTGAAACTACTTACCATGGAAATATCGATAACCATGCTGCTTATTAATTCGTAATCTGGTTAACTGGTTGGTGCGCAAGATAATTTGTCACGTTAAATTGTTTCTGGTAATTCCTAGTTCAAATCATGTCAATTCATTTAACATAGCAGACCAGTCAAGTTATTGAATCATTTAGAAATTGAAATCCAGTCCGTACTTCCTTATATCGAATTGTTTATAATGACGATGAAAAAAGAACATTTCACTGGTTTAATGTGGAGACACAAAAACGAACCATCAGTATCTACTGAACAATTTAATCAAATCAATCACCATTCACAATGTATATACCTTTAAAACATTACGTTAAAAAGTGGGTTAGGTTTGTAATGAACACGTTCCGCTATTGCGCGGAGTCTTACACGCATGCACAACAACATACGCAAGCAAAAACCATACAATGCTACGTGTTACGTAGTTTACAGTTCAATGAAAAATGTATGTGTGTGTGTGTGTGTGTGTGTGTGTGTGTGTGTGTGTGTGTGTGTGTGTGTACACTACAATTTTTGTAGTCAAGGCACTTTATATTTTGACTAAAGTTTTGTAGCTAAAATTTTGTAACAAAAAAAATTTAGTTTTATGAAAATAGAAAAACTTGTAGAATATGATTGAAGAAAAAAAAATCCCGTAGTAAAAGAATAAATAAGTTAGTAGAAGTGGTGTTAAGAATTGTTTCAATGAATTGGATGTAGTAGACATTATGAAAAACATAACGAGATAACATTAACAGTGATGGTAAAAAAAAACATTTTCATCACTGTTACACTTATTACATCACCAACGCTGAGAAAAAATAACAAAACAAAAAGCATCATTTTAAAAATATATCCGAAAAAAATATAAATTTCCGAAAAGTTCTACAATAATAAATATCGTTGCTGTCATTATTACAATAATAAAAATAAATATTAAATATAATTCGTAACTAATGGTTTTAGCTAGCATTGTTAATATTAAGAGTTAAATATATAGAGTTAAATATAAATAACCAGCTAATCGATACAATGAGAGTAACAGTTGACGTATACAAATAAATGCAACGACTTAGCATGGCTCGTGTGTGTCTGTGTGGTGTATGTGTGTGTGTGGTGTGTGTGTGTGTGTGGTGCATCTCTCAAATGTTATCCTAATCCTACTCTGTTGTATTACATTTGTTTTCCTAACGGTAGCAGTTAAGTTTAACTTAGTTTAACTTTCTATATACTTACGGCATATACAAATTCGCGTACAAATAATAAAATAAACAGTGTCAGAGTGCATGCATACATCAAAATTTATTAAATTATAAATAAATATATAAATAAATATTTATTTATTTATTTATTTATTTATTTACTTATAATACTTATAACAACTTATATACTCGAAATCACTATTCAGATAAAAATATTTACAATTAATAACTTTTACAAAATAGAAATAAAAAATAATGCAAACAAAAAAATCACAGAGCTGTTCAACAAGACACCAACGACGAAGTCGACGTTGAAAACATTTGACCTTCACACTCACCATTGTTATTACTATTGTTATTATCACTATTATTATTCTTGGTATTATTATTTTTGTTATTGTCATTATTTAAACTATTAACGTTTACATCTTCGTTGGGCTTATTTGAAATCAGTAAACCAACGATGCTGTTTTCAAGTGCGCATGTGCTGTTACCATCTGCTGAAACGTCGTCGAGATGATGGCAGCCACGCTTCTCAAAACTCGACTCATCCGTCAGACCAAGTCGACTTTCTAACTCGAGTAGCTGTCCCAAAAAGTTGAAGTTGGGAGCTATGATCGGACGGCTCTTTTTGACGATCTTGAAGGCTTTCATCATGGAGACTCTGTAGCGAGTCATTATGTAGGCCATGGCGATTGTAGCAGATCGGGACACACCTGCCTGACAGTGCACCATCACTCGACCGTTGCTACTGCGAGCTTCATCTGTTTTGAACGATCATGATAAAGTGATAAATCATAACAATCTGTTAAATTTAATTTACAAAGTTTTTATGTTGGACTCAGTGGCGTCACTAGGGGGGTGCGGGGGGTGCGGACCGCACCGGGTGACACCCTCACAGGGGGTGACACCAAAATATCACTGTATATGTTTTTATGTCCCTCCATGAAATTATTCTTATCATTAATTCAGCCTAACCCGCCCAGCGCCCAGAAATGTATTATGAATAAAATTTTTTTCGTTCAAATCATTTTTGTATTCGACATTTATACCATTCAAATTCGACGTCCGAATTATTAAGCGCCGCGGCCGAGCACATTTAACTTGTTCGTGTTTATAAATTTTGCTAAGAATGCTGTATGTCTATGGGGTGTCATGAGAGGGGTGACACCATGAGTTACCGCACCGGGTGACACCAACCCTAGTGACGCCACTGGTTAGACTCATCACGAAATGATCAATGAAATCATATCAACGATCGACAAGGAATGAAATAGATCAAACACCAACAAAACAAAATATAATATTACGAAATAAAACGTTAATAAGAACAGTCTACCGATAAACTTGATGGCCTCATCAAAATATTGTTTGAGATTTTGGCAGCTGCTGTCACTGGCGGGAATTCTTTTGTACTGTATACCTGGCAGAGGCATGGGAAGATGTGACGTCACATTGATGACGTGTGTCACGTGACGGTCAGCCAGGAGTTGAGCATTCAATGAATCCCGTTCGTTACCTGATCAAATATTAAAATATTTATTATAGCCAAAAATATAACAATAATAATAAAAATAAAATACTTTTATCCGCGTTGATGATGTTTGTATAACATTGGCAATGACCAATGAGGCTTATAGTCGAGTAATTAATAAACAAAAGATAGAGAATCGATTTTTTTTGTGATATAAACAGCAGAAAAAAATATTTTATAAAAGTTTTGGATAGAATGAGTGGGACGGTGAGGTGTTGAAACTAAGAAAAATTCACTTGTCTGCCTGATTAAAGAAAAAAGTCAAAGATGGACAGGACAGTAATAAAGCAAGGAAAGGTTATGACGTCACAAACATCATCTTCAACATCATATTCGTTTGAAGGTGCCCATTATCCGGAGATATCAAACTAGATGGTACATTTGTTAAAATGGTGTATTTATTATTTAAGATTTATTTATTGAGATGGTGCATTTCATCTACCGAGTGTATTCTTTGAAAATTTGCTTGGAACCAAGTTGAATGTGAGCTTTAATTGCTGGGTAGTCAAGAAAATTGTCAGTCGTCTACTATATTCTATTTTTTACATCAAACAGAGAGTGCCCAAGAAAGTTGAAGAAAAATTATCATTGGTTAACTTATCAGAAATGAAATCAATTCGCAACTTTTATAGCACTGGTGTGTAATTGGTCGCTAAACTTGAAAATTTAAGCAAAAAAGAACTGTAAATAAATGGAGATATGACAGACGAGATCTTGGACCAAGTTCGTAACTGAAGTGAAAATGTGGAAGTAGATAGGTTAAATTTGGAAACTACTGTTGACAGTGGGACGGTTGTCATTGTTTATTCAAGTGTACAGTGCAGGACACTGGTGGCGAAAAACAACAAACCAAGCATCGCATGTTTTTACAGAGTTTTTAAATTAAACACAAGTTAGATTAGGTAAGAGATTGCACAAACCACAAAATAAGTTGAGAAACTGACGCATAACTAGCAACTCGAGTCGACTTAAATGTTTTTAAATGAATAGTGTTTTGGATATGGGTGGATTTTTAGCAAAAATTATAACGACTCAAGAGGGTCAGCATCTTTCCATGCCTGCCCCATAAAGCTTGAATAAACATTTAACAATGGTGACGATGTTTAAGTATATAATAAATGAATAAGCGAGTAAATATCAATAAGTACGAGTAGGTAGGTATGTACGTTCGCGTGTTTTTTATTCATTCACTTGCAGGGTACATAGAATTTAAAGATATTCACAAACATCATCTGTTTTGCGAGATGCAAAATGTCAAATGTAAACTTTAGTTATGACTCAGCATAATGATAATAATAATAATAACAACAGTGATAATAATAACCACAAAGTATTGATCCAACGACAAACATCTTATTCTTAAATATTTTTTACACAAAACTTTTTCAAAATCATTTGCAACGATCATGAAAATTATTATACTAATGTTGTAATTAATTGCAAATATCTCACTAGCAAAAACTTAATTGCAAATAAGCATTTGAACTTTAATAAAATCACTAAAAATATTTTTATCCAGATCAGAGTTAAACATTAACAAGAAATGCAAACATACAAACCATCATCATCATCATCCTTCTGAGGAATTTAACAAAAGCTTGGAAACTAGTGGTTCTGAAGTCGAAGCAGGTAGAGCCAGGTTCATTCAAAAACATGCCAAGTTTCTTCCACTTATAACCACTTTCATAAAATTTTATCAAGTCTTCCTGAGTCAATCCCCATACGGTGAACAACAAAATCAACATCATACAGTGATAAATCGTTATTGTACAGAAATAGAAAAACATTACTGCATAATATTCATATACATACTTATGTAAGTATGTACGTATGTGTGTGCAACAGTTTTGAAAATTCTCATTTATGTATTGGTTCATTCCTCAATAATTCTCAAAAGAAATCAATAAGGGCACAATGCACGTGATTTAACAGGAATTACAAACCTTAGCACACGATAGGCAGAGATCTCTATTAAAACCCGGCCACTGTCTATTCAAACCAAACCACCGTAATGTGCTTCATCATTACGTCAACTCATCTCGACACCAGCAGGTTAATGATGCATTGCACGAAATTGCCGTCACCCGCTCTCAGCGAAACCACAGTTTGCGGAAATATCAAAACTCTTAAAGTTCTACGACCTTTCACTGAAAGTTTCAACTAATGAATTGAGTTAATAAATAAAGTTCCACTTTACTTTGTTTTTTAAAAATATGATTAAAAATATTTTGTATAATTGTTTTAGGTATTATTTTATTATTATTTTTATTGTTGTTTTATTTTATTTAGGTATGTTGTTTCAGCACTTATTTGAATAAAAATAACATTCGAGTTTTTATTCTTAGATCTCTTCAGATAATGCTCAGTAATTATCATATTTGTGTTTTGTGTTACTTCACCGATCCGATAGCTAACATTTTGATACCTTCAGATCTTTTAGAGTATTGTTCGATGGAGAACAGTATTATAACAGTTAATTTAATTACAATGTTCAACAATCTTCTCATAAAACCTGCCCAGATAAATTTCTGGCTATTTCCGACGGCAAAAAGATTTTATTTGTCGACATAACTTCTACCTTGCACCCCAGAAGTAAGCCGCTTCTCAGAACTCTAAACTCAAAATTTCTGCACTGTCTCAAAAACTGCTTTTAACTTTTAAAACACATTCCATCAGACATCTGATCACAGATATAGGTTCCTGCCTAGCTTAACGTAATTAACACTAGTTACCGTTTGCCGCCAAGATAGCTCAGTTGATAGAAATGCCATGTATCGCGCGGCTAAAATACGATGACATGGTTCGAATACTGTCTGTCCGTAAATCAAAGACGATCCTACGCGTACGATGCTGTGCTTGCGCTGGCATACATAATGTGCATGTGCGTCGTGTGGTGTTGATAGTGCAGCCATTGCGGCACGAATATTTAATTATATGTAAAGAATAAAATAACATGTAAGCAGCTCCGCGTCTGAAAGAAAAAATTACGTTATGAAGAAAAAATACGTTAAGCTACGGTTCACGGCGCTTCCAAAACAGCCAAATTTGACATTACAAATTGTTCACAATTATTATTATTATTATTGCACGATCATAGGGCAGACACACCCAACCATACATCAAGATCTAACTTTAACTTCGAAACAAGACTACCTACCGATATATAGAAATGGCAAAATTTGCGAAATGAGAGCCCCATCGATGTTCTCTTCAGGCAGCGGTGTTGTTGGACTGAATGATATTGATTCTAACTGAACTGTTCGCGGTGATTCAACACATAAGCCTTTGTGCTTCTTCGAAAATTCTTTCATACCTCCTACAAAGGTAATAAAATAAAAATCGAAAATCTTTTAATGAATTATAAAATGATTACAATTTTCAGAAAACAATCAATATTTGTTATGATGAAGGTTAATCATTTTTATTGATAAACTTAAAATTAAGTCTCTTATTATCTAAAATTTCATTTCAGTGAGATGAATAATAATTAAAAAAATTATTATAATTATATTAAAATATAACACATACCTTATTTTTATTCGTTCACACACACTCATATGTATATATATATATATATATATATATATATATATATATATATGTGTGTGTGTGTGTATATATATAT